CCCACCTCAAAACCACATATTAACTCCTCTTAAATTCTGCTTCCCTCCTTTTTAACAAGTCTCCACATCTCATGGCTTCAGGACATTTTGGAAGGTCTACGATGCTGGTAGTGCACATCTTATGAACAGCAATGAAATCACCTCAGGCAACAACATAAATGGTTCTGAAAAATAGCATTGGTTCCGAAAAGCAAATTGCAGAAGAAACTGCATTGTATTTATATGAAGTTCAAAAACAGGCAAAACTAAACAATACATATTTTAGAAATACATTTGTATGTGGTAATAGTAGGACCAAAAACAAAGGAATGATAACACAAAATTTGGTATAATCGTATAGTCCTGAGATGGAGACAAGGGTTCTTAGAGGGGCAAATGGATGACTTTCAAGGCAGTGGTGATGCTCTCTCTCTTTCTCAAACTAGATGAAGGCAAGGGAACTCCATAAGTGTGTGTTGTATCATTAGTCTTTACACTTTACAGATTTTTTTTAAAGTCTTTTGCACTTACTCAATACTTGAGTAAAACAAAACAACAACCTACGCAATGGGAGAAAATTTTTGCAAATGATGAAACCGACAAAGGCTTGATATCCAGAATATATAAGCAGCTCATACAACATAATAAGAAAAAAACAAACAACACAATCCAAAAAAGGGCAGAAGACCCAAACAAGCAATTCTCCAAGGAAGAAATACAAATGTTCAATAGGCACATGAAAATATGCTCAATATCACTAATCATCAGAGAAATACAAATCAAAACTACGATGAGGTATCACCTCACACCAGTCAGAATGGCCAGCATTAATTATAAATTTTAAAAGTTAAAAGCACAATAAGTAAGTTAATGTTATGAAGATGATAGGAGGGCAAGACCCACGAGGATGGAAAGAAACTGCTCTTTCATTCCAACACAAGGCAGGGGACTCTCATTTCTTGCTGAAGACCGAGGCTGGTGGTTCCAAACACTCAGCCTTTGACCCAAGCCCCTAGAAGAGCGGTGTAACTGAAAATGACTTCATTCAGCACCAGAATGCCAAGAGGTCTGCAGAGAGAAGCCACTGTTCCCGAGCTGTGCCAGTGCCAAGCCCTGCTCTCCGGACTCTAAATCACTGCTTGGAAGCCAGCTGTGCAGCTGGCCACTGGCAGTTTTGTTTGGTCTGTGGATAACCTCAATTATCTGGTGATTTCATCACCCCAAGAGGCACCGGAGAGGAGCAGATACTATCCTGTTACAAGCCTGACCCTTAGAGGGAAACGTTAACACAAAATATTTTAGATAAGTTCTTTCCCACTGTTAGAATATTTGTCTGGTGTCCTCCCAGTTGCTCTTCTGACATAATTATATGGCTTAAACCAAATCCTCACTGGTTGAATCCTTCCAGAACATCCACTAATAAATTTTAACCTGAAGCCAATTTTCCCAAGGTACTTTCATATTGATAGGTACCTATGTCTGTTCACTGAGTTTTAAACTTCCCAAACATTCAAAAGTTAGAAATAACCAATCAAGAGTACTGGGAAGTACAGCCAAATTCAACCATAAGAGAAAGTATGTCAAAATTTACCATTAAATCACTCCTACCTAGATATTCAGATTAGACGGGGTCTGTTTTAAAACATCATCTTTCCTAGTATTATCTTGATCCACAGGGTTCAAATCAGACAACAAAATCACAGCTCAGTCCCCTTAACTAAGAACGTCACCAATAGCACATCCTATTTGCAACTCTATATTTATGTTACTTATGTGTGTGTGTATTTATCATACACCATTAAGCACCTCCTATGTTATAGAAAAAGTGGGAAAAAAAGCAGTTAAAGTGCCTGTCTTCATGAAGTTTACATTCCAGTGGTGGGAAAAAGCAATAAATAAATATATATACAATATGAATAATGATGATAACTGTTAAGAAGGGAACAGAATAACATGAAGGAAGTCGGTGAACCATCAGTGGAAGGTTGGGCAGGGAAGGGGTTGCTGTTTTATATTAGACAGGCAGGTGTGTAATAAAGAACATGGGTGGCCTATCTCCCAGCTTCCTAGGAGGTAGTCTCAGAATGCTTGTAATTTCCTAAATGAGATGACTCAGGATAGGGGCGGATCATGCCAGAAAGACCAACCATGTGGTTAGAGGGTTTGAGCTTTGAGCTGCATTGTACCAGCCTGACCTCAGGGGAGGGGTGAAGGCTGGAGATTGAGTCACAGGACCCATGATTCAATCAATAGTGAACCTAATGAAGAAAGACTAACCAGGAAAAACTAGGGACCCCCAAGCTCGGGTGAGCTTCCCTGGTTGGCAATACTCCACATCAGTGTGTCAATGAGGGTGACAATCCTGACTCTACGGAGAGGGGACAAAGGAAGATTCATGATTGGGAAACCTCCCAGACCTTGTCCTATACATCTCTCTTCAGCTAGTTCTGATATGTGTCCTACTGCTATAGTAAAACTGAGTTCTGAGTCACTTAAGTGAATAATTGAACCTGAGAGGGAGTTGAGAACCCCTGAATTTTTAGCCAGCTGGTCAAAGTAACGGTGGCCTGATGACTCCAGACCTTGTAGCTAATTTCCAAAGTGAAGGCAGTTTTGTGGAGACAATAATGTCTACAAGTTTGATCATATTGCTTCCTTTACTATAATCCCTCTTTTCAAATTTTTCTTGCCTAATTGCTTTGGTTAGAACATTGAGAGCAATGTGAAATATAAAGGTGATAGCAGATATACTCAGCTAATACTTCCATTTTTTTCACCATTAAACAGTATGCCAACAATCAGTTTGTCAAGGATAGACTAGAAGATATTTTTCCCTAATTTATCTAATATTTGTTGGATTGCCTTCATTTAGAAAAAGAGAAAGAAATTAGTAAGATAATCTTTAAAATATTTATCTTTGGAAGGTATTATTTTAAATGAAGTAGGAGGAGAAAACCTTGGTCAGATAAGAAAATGCACCTATGATTTCAGCATTATTAAAAGGTCGGTTTTACAATGCAAAATAAAACATCAAACTTAATCCGAAATGGGCTACACCTTATAAAGAATTGTTCTTACCTAATTGGATTGTCCTGCTTTATAGTGAAGGTGCAAATAATGCTCCTTGAAAGCATGACACTCAAAACTGGTTGGAGTATACGCATGTCTAAAGACCTCTCCTGATTACTCTTGCTTCTGTATGGAACTAGAGCCCACACGTGTCACGGCCAATGTTATCAAATATCAAGCAAACAACAATTCGCAGGGTCGCAGTTCCCTAGCCCCAAAAGGGAGATTCCTAACCAGTGCCCCATTAATCGAAAAGGGGAGAACCCAACTGGTGCCCCATCAGAGATGGAGATGAATGAAAGACCAAGGCTAGAAAGGGAACATCCTGACCAACGCTCCACCACAGGCGAGGCCAACGCAATAGGGGAGGACACCCTGGTGTCGTCACACGTGAGCCCTGTCACTCAAAGACGTCCCAACTGAACAATGCAAGTTCTGACACACACATATGGACAACAAACATCGTCCCACAAACAAAAGATCAGATGAGGTGTGGCCCCCAGATTTCACTTCCACTTCCAAACGGAGGCCTCCAAACAGATGGGCCCAGAGAACAGACCCAGAGGAGCTCACTATGAGCCCAAAGATGCTCACTTCCCGGTGGGAATGAGTCCAGATGGAGTGGAGAGAATTACCAGCCCGTGGGAGCTGGAATGACTCACCCTCAGGCAACACCACATGTGGACCGTAGCCCTGGATGTTTCTCACCTCCAAATAGCCTCCTGCCACCAGGCGGCCAGTGCCTGTCAGGGAGAGCCCCTCCCTGTTACACCCTGGAGCAAAGTGAGCTTGGCAGCTGCTGGGACCCAGGGAAGGAGCTGCCCTTGGCTGGGGTCGACCCTCCACCAGTACAGACTCCTCCGCTGGCTCATCAGAATTGTTACCCAAGGCAAGTTCATGTACCCGAGTTCATGTTCCCGCCACTCCATGAGGCCAAACAAATGGAAACGCTGGAATTT